CTGGAATAGAAACCTGACTCTGGCCTCCACTTCTTCATTTTCCCATAACTTGACACTTTCTTCTAGGATAAGTCAACAGTGACTCCTTTCCAAGTACTGGTCCCAGTGATAACTTGGTGGTATAAAAGGAGCCACTGTCTCAATATAACAGTGTTAATATTCAACTGGTGTTAGATGGATGAATCAATGAGCAAATGACCTCATAAAATGACGACTGTCTTAGTCTGTATTAGAAATATCCCCCATAGGCTCAGGCATTTGAGCACTTGGTACCCAGTTGGTGGCACTGTGAGGCTTCAGAGGAGTGGCCATATGGGAGGAAGTATGTCACTGGAGGCAGACTTTGGGGCTTTAAAGACCCTCGCCATCTTCAGCCTGCTCTCTGTTTCATGCTTTAGGTTTAAGATGTGAACCCTTAGCTTCTGCTCCAGGTGCTATGCCTGCCACCTGCTGCCCCGCCTCCTGGTCTTGCTGCACCCATATCCTCTGGAACCATAAGCCAAATAAAGTCTTCCCTCTGTAAGCTGCTCCTGGACATGTTTTTGTTGTTGGTTGTTTGTTTTGTTTTGTTTTTTAATCACACCAGCAGAGGAGTACCTAGTACTGAGAGACTCACCACGAAATTTTGTATCTGACATGGGTATACACAAAGGCCTAATCTTCTAGAATGAGCCCAAGACAAGGTTGTGGGAGACAGCTATTTCTTTACAAAGTATGTGGTATGACCAAGCAGTCATTAGAAATCATTAGGGGAAGCATTAAGACAAAGTTATACATGCCACCAAGCTACAGGAGAACTTCCCCAGGGTGACAGGGGCCAATGGGAGACAGAGTCTAAAGGGCCCTAATGGTTCTCACTTATTCTCCCTCAAAACCTTTTAAAGCGTCCATCACGGTGACCAGCCCCAGAGTAATGTACATTTAATTCAGCTTCTAATGCAGTACAATCAATAGCACGGTGACACAGACAGTTTATCACACGTCATCCGAAGTTTAACAAGGAAATAAATTAGTAATAAACACAAACCAAGCACTTAGAAGTTCAATTTGAGGTTTCATCTTCCCCCACAAATCAAAATGCTTCTTATAGCTTATTAAATATTTCAGGATAAAATAAAGTGTTTTCAGTTGTTTTGTTTTGTTGTTTTTTTTTTTTTTTTCTAACTCAGGATAGAATGGATTGGAAAATTCCTTAAGAAAAAAAAAGTAAGTGTAATGGCTTTGATTTTAACAATACTTTACAGTTCATAAGCTGTCTTCACATCTTCTCTTGTTTTCATCCCCCTCTTCAGAGTCTTGGCAATTAGGACAAGTAAACACAGCAGACAAAGGAGGACCCTGAAGGATAAGGGGAACTGTGAGTCTCCAAACACCTGGTCTAGGATGGGATTAGTCCTGAGAGGGATTGGGTTCTGACGGAGAAGGTGGGGAGATAGAGACAGAGTGCTCTACATGGTGTCCTTCACTGGAGTTCAGGATTGTTGAGATTTGGTAAGGATGTTACCATGCTTCATTAGGGTTGTTTGTTAGTTGTAGGTTTTTGGAGACTTTAAATATAGACTGTTGGGTTAATCACATCCCTTGGTGTCTAGATAGCTCAGTGGTTAAGAATACTTGTCTTGCAGAGGACTGACTTTGGTTCCAGGAGCCCATGTGGCTGCTCACAAACTGTCTGTTATTCCAGTTCCAAGGGATCTGAAGCTCTCTTCTGACCTCGGTGGGGACAGGCACACAGGCATACATGCAGGCAAAACATTAAAACAAAACAGAAAAAACCCACACATCCCATGCTGGGCAGTAGTGGCACACACCTTTACGCCCTGCACTCGGGAGGCAGAGGCAGGTGGATCTCTGTGAGTTTCAGACCAGCCTGGTCTACAAGAGCTAATTCCAGGACAGCCTCCAAAGCCACAGAGAAACCCTGTCTCGAAAAACAAACAAACAAACAAACAACCACATCCCTTAGATGGCATATAGTCTCCATCAAGTAACTGCTCTTATCTTATTCAGTAAGGGACTTTATACCCTACCCTCATTCCACTTATGTAAAACCCAAAACAGACCAAGTTCTTCCCTAGCTACTAGGGTGGAGGAAGGCAGGCACCTCCCTCTCTGCATGCCGACAGAGCTTAGTGTTTGTCTTTATAGTGATAAGTCATTTACTTGGCAAAAAAAATCATTTGTGTTATGTGCTTAGGATGTGTGTAGCTTTCTGTATGTTATACCTTATTAAATTATTATACTCAGGAACTAGAGAAATGGTTCAGTGGTTAAGATCACTAACTGCTTTTCCAGAGGACCTGGGTTCAAGTTCCAGCACCCACATGGCATCTCATAACTGTCTGTAATTCCAGTTCCAGAGGACCTGACACCCATGGCAAAACACCAATGTACATAAAATCAAAATAAATAAAAATTAAAAAGTTCTTCAGTCTCTGCTGGGTAGTGGTGGTGCACGCCTTTAATCCCAGCATTTGGGAGGCAGAGACCGGATATATACATATATATACATATATACATATATATACATATATATAAAATCTTCAAAAAGTCCTGCTGGAAAAAAGCTGGCTGTGGTGGTATGTGCTGTACCCATAGCAACTTGTGAGACAAAGAAGGAAGATCACTTGAGCCAAGAGTTCAAAATCTCTTTGGGCAGCGTAGCTAGGAATTGAACTCAGGACCTCAAGAAAAGCAGCCTGTGCTCTTAACTGCTGAGCCATCTCACCAGCCCTAAGACCCCCCATCTCTTTTTTCTTTCCTTCCTTCCTCCCTCTCTTCCTTCCTGTATTTGTTGTTGTTGTTGTTGTTGTTGTTGTTTCTGTGTTACAGTCCTGGCTGTCCCAGAACTCACTCTTATTCCAGGTTGGCCTTGAACTCACAGACATCCACCTGCCTCTGCCTCCCAAGTGCTGGGGCATGCGCCACCACCCAGCAAAGCCCCATCTCTTTAAAGGAAAATACCCTGCTGGAATTTTGAAGAGAATTATACAAAATATGGGTTATGTGAGAAGGAACTAAGAACTGGCATCTGAAGATTGTCATCTTCCACTGGGAGACTGCTTTCCTGGCATGTGACCCAGGGAGATAGAGAAACAGAGACAGGGAGACAAAGACACAGAAAGAGACAGAGAAAGGAATTCGCCCCCCTCTCCCTGTTGCTTCTTCCTCTACGGGGGCTTACCCAGCAGCTCCTTTTTCTGAGGTCCTTCCAAAATGATTCTCTTTATCTATGTTGAGACAGTAGCCTCTGATCAAAGTGAACTGGGAGCAGAAGACTAGGAAGTGGATGATGAAAGAGAAGAATCAGGTTGTCGATCGTGTGTGAATCTGAATGAGGACTTCTGGGAAAACAAAACAAAACAAAAAAACCCTGTTGGTGATTCATACTCCTGGTCCTACCCTAGCATTAGGTCCTGAGTCTGCCATTCCGGATGGACTCACTTCACTGCCCAGGCATCCCTGACGAGTGAACACCTAAAAGGCCGCATAACAAGGGTAAGTGTCTTAGTTACTGTTCTATTGCTGTGAGGAAACACCATGACCAAAGGCAGTTTATAAAGAAAGCATTTAACAGGCTCCAAAGCTACACAGAGAAACCTTGTCTTAAAAAAAAAAGTAAATAAATAAATAAAAATAAAGAAAGCATTTAAGCCGAGCTTTGGTGGCACACACCTTTAATCCCAGAACTCAGAGGAAGGCGGATTGCTGTGAGTTCGAGGCCAGCCTTGTCTCCAGAGCGAGTGCCAGGATAGGCTCCAAAGCTACACAGAGAAACCCTGTCTCAAAAAACCGGGGGAAAAAAATAAAAAATAAAGCATTTAAGCACAGAGGTTAGTTAGCCCATGACCATCATGGTAGAGAGTGTAGAAGTAGGCAGGCAGGCAGGCAGGTATGGCACTGGAGCAGTATCTGAGAGCTCACATCTGATCCATAAATTGCAGGCAGAGTGAGTGGCCTGCCCCAAATGACACACTTTCTCCAACAAGGACACATCCTTCCTAAACAGTTCACTAACTGGGAAACAAACACTCAAATATATTAATTATCCTATGGGGGCCATTCTCATTCAGACCACCACAGTAAGAGTGCACAGTGAAATGACTTTAGACATTCAGGTCAAACCAAGCTCCCATGCTTTACATGTGTGCAACTGGACAAGTTCATTAACATCTCTGCATTGGTCTCCCCTTTTTTGCTTGCTTCTCTTCTTCCTTCCTCCCTTCTTCCTTTCTTTCATTCTTTCAGTTGGGGGGCATTGAATTTTATACATGCTAGGTGTTAAGTGTTGCAGCTCTGATGGAAAGGTATCCTGGCAGTCCCAACTGCCAAAGAATACCAAAGTCACTGTAACCTTAACAGTTTATACCCTTGCTCCAGGGAATGTTTTCCCAAAGGCAAGTGTAACAACTGTGCTCAGGCGGGGGAGGTTGTATTTGTTACAGCCTTGTTCAGGTCCCCCAGATCATAACAACTCTGTTCCACTAGGGGTAAACTTCCCCAGCAAAAATGTTACAGCTCTGCTCCAGTGCAAATTGTTACAGCTGGCTTCCGCTCACACCACACAACAAGCCTCACTCCAGATGTATTGGGAAGAAAAAACCCAGGAGGGTGATTGCCTCTAGGGCAAAAAGCAACAACAAACTGAATAGGGTACAGAGTTTATGGGGGGCGGGGAGCAGAGCTTCCCAGGGTGGCTAGGGATTTGTGGGGTTTTGTGGTCTGATTTTGGGGCAACTGGTGGGATTTCAAACCCAGGGATTGGTGGAATTTCATGCTCAGGGACCTCAGGGATGAGTAGGATTCTATGCTCAGGGTGGGATTCTGCAGCCTGACTTCCTGCAAGCTCCGGAATTAGTCCTGGTTCTAGGGTCAAATCAAGGTCAGGGTCAGGGTGTTTTTCTTTGGTTGTTTTCACCCTACATTAGGCAAGTGCTGTACCACTAGGCTATATCCCCAGCACAATACGGACTGTAACATTATAGTAGACATTGCACTAACTGGTCAGCACTGGTTCGCTTGGTTGTTTCTTCTCATTGTACATGTCTTTTGTTGTTGTTGTTGTTTTGTTTGCTTGTTTTTTGTTTGTTTTTGAAACAGGGTTTCTCTGCCTAGCCCTGGCTGTCTTGTAGACCAGGCTGGCCTTGAACTCACAGAGATCTGCCTGCCTCTGCCTCCCAAGTGCTGGGATTAAAGGCCACCACATTAGGCCTCATTATACCTGTCTTACAAATAAGAAACCAAGGAGCTGGAGAGATGGCTCACAGTTAAGAGCACTGGCTGCTCTTCCAGAGAACCTGGGTTCAATTCCAAGCACCCACATGGCAGCTCCCAACTGCCTGTAACTCCACCTCCAGAGGATCCAACACCTTCACATAGATATGCATGCAGACAAAATACCAATGTACATAAAATAAAAATAAGTAAATCATTAATAAAAGAAATCAAAGTAGAAGCCAACACCACAAGAAAAACAGCAACAACAATAATGAATAAACCTAATGTGATAGTTAACCTCCCAGATGACCTCATTTTTATAACCAGGTAGCATTCCTGACTCCATCCAGTCTCTTCCCACTGGAGTGTTGTAGAAATGAGAGCATTGGTAGAAGCAGGGACATCTGGGAGAGTCCAGAGTGGACATGACCAGGCTGAGATGGGTCATGTGGGGAGAGGGGGAGGGGAAGTCAGAGGGGAGAGAGAAGAACAAGGTACAGCAGCCAAGAGGCCAAAGGTACAAAAGGAGATAGGTAACCAAAATGTATGGATTATATAGGGAAGGCAGCCCAGTCCCTGGGCTGGAGAGTTCAGGGTAGGGGATAGGGTATGCCCATCAAGAGGGCCCTGTAACAGTTAGGGACTGTGGCATGCAGGGAGAACCTGGCAGCCAGGTTCACTTTGACATATTAAATAGGCACCTTAGACATTTGTCCCAGGTAGAAACCTAACAGAAATGACACTGGGACTTGTCAGGTTTGGGTCACAGAAGACACCACAATCTTCTTCCCTTTCTCTAATGGCCTGCTCTCAGGGAAGCCAGCTGCCATATTGTGATATCACTTAAGCACTCTACAGAGAGGATTACGGGAGGGCTTACCAGCAACCACGTGAGTATGCCAGAATGTCATCTTCAGATAACCGCAGCCCTGGCTGGCATCTGCAACCCATGAGAGATGCCAAGCCGGAACCAATCTCCTCACCACTCCTGAGTTCCTGGCTGGCATGAGCTGTGTGAGATAATTAATGAAGGGCTTCTTGCTACTGCTCTGGGCTGTTTGGAGTTGCTTATCATGTAGCATTGCACGAGTAAGACATAATGAAGCTGTCGTCACTATTGTTATAAACACTTCCTGATTTTAGCTGAAGTCCGCTGTCTTGTCATATCCGCCCTCTCTTCCACTTCCGTCTTTCCAAAGCCACATGGAAAGAACAGTGTCTTCCCGTGGTCAAAATCATGACAGTTTTCATGCAACTCATTCCGCTCATCAGATACTGCTGAAGAACAATCACCTGAGCAAGCACTAGGGATGATCAAACAGGGATGCCTACTCAGATACACCCTTAAAACATGGCTCCTTGCCCCAGGTGCTGTCCTGCAGGGGCTGATTCCAGGATGCCAGGAGGAGGGGTTCCTGGGGAAGTGGGGTTGGTTCTGCAGAGAGGTGAAGGAAGGCTTCTAGAAGAGGGGGAGGCTACAAAGGACAGATAAGACTTCACCGGGGTGACATGAGGCAGAGGACTTCTAGGCACAAGCCCACCCTGACTCAAGCCCTTCTGTAGGCCATGCTCTCTTTCTTTTTCTTTCTTTTTTTTTTTTTTTTTTTTTTTTTTTTTTTTT